CAAGCTTCTGGCTGGGTAGAGTTCTTCAAGGGGGTATGTCACTGTAGTCAGGGATCTATCCACGCCATGTGGAGGGGTTGCCCATCCCAAACCAGGAGTAAACATTGGGCAGTATCCGGAAGGATCGCTGTCCGAGGTTTCTAAGGAAGTGTGTAACGCCTCAGGCTGGATAACAGAGCAGGGAAAAACACTCGCTCTTGGTAGTGGGAGGATCACGACCCTGAATGGCGATGGTCCTTAACTACAGGTACTGGTGTACTTCGAAGAGAAACTCGAAATCTTTTTAATTTCTTTAAAATCTTTCTTACCGGTATACCAGTACCCACCTCCTACCACGTGCCTACCCGTACCATCTTCGCGGCAAACCACATCTTACTACTACACTTCAACCCTGCGACCATTCATACCCCTATTCTTTTACTTCAGCTCCGAGCACGCAGCAGCGTCTTGTCAATCGACCCTGCTTTTTTGCACCGCCTCGCTCCCAGACTATTGACGGGAGTGCGCACTAGAGGTCTTCGAGTATTAACGGTACTAAAGTACAAGTATGCGGTTTACAAATGTATAGTTTCGTGTATTTAGTTGGTTCTCATAATCACGTCCGATGCTCGACGTCAAATGCCACCCCCCAACCTGCTGCGACCACGCTCGAGGGCGTCGATGCGGCTCTGTGCACGGCGCTTGCGCATGCTCAGGCTGGCGCCTTCAAAGCCACGTTCAAACCCGCGCCTGCCTATAGACGCCGCAAATGGCTCGGTCTCGACGGCATGATGCATCTCCGTCCGTGCGGCAGCGTCGTTGATTTCGACGCGCACTTGCCCAGGTACTAATCTCGATGACCTCCATAGGTCAACGACGTTCGTGCGAGGTGCGTCCCGATGGCCCGCTCGGCCTGGTCGGTCGTCGTTGAGCTGGCGCACAACTGCAGGATCGGAGAGTCTGATGAAGCCCCGTTCCGGGCTGACAGCCAGACGGGTACCGTTATCTGCTTCAGTGCAATGATACAAGTCGCGACTGCGCCCTGGTGGGATCCGATGGCCCGCTCGGTCTGGGCGGTCGTCGTTGAGCTGGCGCACAACTGCAGGATCGGAGAGTCTGATGAAGCCCCGTTCCGGGCTGATAGCCAGACGGGCACCGTTATCTGCTTCAATGCAACGGTACAAGTCGCGACCGCGCACTGGTGGGATTACGACAGGTTGATGGCCAGCACGAGGGACGACGTTGAGAGGTTTTGCCACAGGTTGCCGCATGCTGCGACTCGGCGACGCTCGGTGCCCAGCAAAGGCGTCTTTTCGGACGAGGTCAAGGTCCGCGTTGTCAAGTTTGAGACCGCGGTTCGCGGCACCAAGTGGAAGATCATGGGCGTTGCCAAGTCGAAGATCGTGGTCAGCGTCTCCAAGCGGAAGCATCGGCTCGCGCAGTGCAGCGACGACGTCACGCACATGTGGGTCAAGTGCCATGGGTACCAAGGCGTCAGGTACGGGTGGGTGTCCGTCGAGGTCGAGCGCGCGCTGCGCATGATACATGATCATGTCGTTCGCTTCGTAGTTGATTCCATTGTCAATGTCATCCTAATACCGTACAAATCATGGCACGTTGTGACGCGTGCAAACCTGAATCTGCTCTTGATGATGGTCATCGTCCACAATCTGGGGAATTGGATGCGGTGGCAGTAGCAACGCAGGTGTAAGCACAGGGAAAGACTGCGCCAGAAGAGGGCGGTTGTGACCACGAGGCACTTCGTCGTCAACTGGCACTGCCGGTTGTAGACGATGAGGTGGGCCGACTCTAACCAAAATGTCTGCGGCGTGATCATCGAAGGATTCCAGGTACGTGTCGGGAATACGGCGCAAAACGCGCTGGATATCCTTGAGGTCATAGGCCTGGTTGAACTTGATCACAAGCATCTTCTGGAGCTCGAGTGCATTGCGGCGTGCCGAGTTAATGACCTGATCTGTCAGCCAAGCCTCAACTTGCTCGGCAAACTAAAATTGTAATAATAGATAGGTTCATGTCATATTCAGCCGCGTTGTCGTACCTGGAACTCACGAGGAGACCGCGGAATCCCGAGGTCGTCCTCGGCAAAAAAGTGGCTCTTGATTTGACCCAACGACACTTGACCTGACACTGAGCACACCATCACGGCGTACGTGCACTCGCATGGTACGTCCGGCGGGCGACTTTGATGGCATCTCAAAGAGCGGCATTTGAAGTAGCGGCGTTGCATGTAGTGCTTGCCTCTGAGCGTGCGGACAAGCTCTCTGCGCGCCACCATCGCGGCCTGGTCCCCGCCGTCCCCGTCGTCCTGGTTGTCCAAGTCGCCGTGGTCAATCTTACAGACTATGCCTCGCTTGGGGCTTCCGTTGACAACGGCCATGGTAGGAAGCAGATAGCGATAGTCCTCGAACTCGGCGAAGTTGGCAAAGAGAGCCAAATGCCGTGTGGGGGCTCGAGGCGGCATCAGACGGGTGTTTCGAAATGCCAATATCAAAGTGTATTTTAACAACTCAATGCTACACCAACCGACAGTCGACGCTGCGTCAGGCGTCGCGAACATGCATCCGGTAATGCACAGTTACGCCGCAACGATGGAGAGAGTATTGCGCGGTCGAGGGAAAATATTGTGCAGCCGGCGGAAACTGTTCTGCTGTCGGCCAAAATATTATGCGGTGATGGAAAGAGTGAACTCGACGTGCGAGATTGTGCACACGGCGTACCGTAAGCTCTCTTTCGAACGCGATGACCTGTCCCTTGCATCACGCGCAACCAGTCGGTCTCTGCGATCAAATGGCAACACACACGTAATACCCCCCGATAAAACTGATAATGCAATATTGCGCGCTCAGC